CGGGGAAGGGAAAAATTTGTACCACAACCAACATAATTTACAGTGCCACATATAATTATAAAATATTCAAGTACAGTATTGTAATTAATTTTAAACAGAAACCTCAATTTATCTTGCAATTCATCTTCTTGATTGATGCTACACATCTTGAGGTTAAGAATTCTTGAATATTTACATAACCTATTCTAATGCAACACGAAAATTAACACTTAAAATTACTGTACAGTACAGTACGTGAACTTGGCAAGGTCAGTTTTGATCTGCCAGCTGCTGAAGCTTCTCTGGTTGAAGGCTTTTGGCTTGCTCCTGAGCCCTCACTGGATGAAGGTCCTTGGCTTGCTGTTCATACAAAATAAGAATCAAGTTTAGCTTACCTCCTGTGTTCATTGGCCTCTTATATGATCAGCTCTTTGGTTCGCCTCAGATACTGATACATGTTTTCAACTTCTGGATTAGCACAGTTGGACGAAAAATTAATTAATCCGTCAACATAGGACATGAGTAAACTGTATTTTGTGGTCTGAGGTGTTGGTTCCTCATTGCCATCGTCAACCTCCGCCTCACCAGTAACAGCCTGGAGAATATTGTCTTCGCTCATCACACCATATCCTGGGGCATTAGTATCTCTTTTCAAGCCATTCAACCACATCCTGTCTTTCTAAATTTTTGCCAGCATTTCTGAACATTTCATGGATTTCATCTGTAAATCCTTCAAAATTTATTTCTTCATTCTCCTCATTGTTGACTGTGCCTATGAAGATTTTCTTGTAGGAATTCTTCAAAGTCAAGTCCTTTACTTAACTCCACACCTTGGCCCAGTTATAGATTGCTTCCTTGATGGAATAGTTCTTCAAATTCTCAAGGGTTCTTTTAGCCCTGTTATCCACGCCAAGTTCCACATTTTCCTTGAGAGGCAAAAACCACTAAAACTTTGAGTATCTTTTTGGTGTACAGCCTCTTTGTGGCACAGACAACTCCCTGATCCATAGGTTGGATGAGAGAGGTTGTATTAAGAGGAAATGCCATACATATTATCTTGCCATCATGTGAGGTTAATAAGTCAATTCTTGGGTGGGCAGATGCATTATCAAGCAGCAACAAAGCCCGAACTTTGCTTGGCCTTACTTTGAGTTTAACTTGATGGTCACGAATTTCGTTGCAGAACACATCATGAAACCAAGAAAGAAAAATCTCCTGTGTAAACCATGCATTCTTTGAGTTATAATATTTCACAGGCAGTCTGTCCAAGCAGTGTTGCAAGGCTCTTGGTTCCTTGTAATTTGCCAACAATTGCACACGTGATTTTGTATGTGCCGTCAGCATTGGCACACATCATGGCCGACAGCCTGTCCTTGTTGACCTCAAGCCCTGGCACACAACCCTCACTCATAGCTAGAGTTTTTTTCAGGTAAACTCCTCCAATACAGCCCAGTTTCATCAGCAATATAGATTTGATAAAAATATAAATTATTAGACAAAATGTATGTTCTTAATTTATGTTTAAAGGAATCTACACTGCTTGTATCTGCACTGCATTTTTCACAACAATTTTCCTCTTCACAATATTGTGCCTTGCTTTGAACCTTGCAATCCACCCATCACTTGCATGGAAATCCTATATTTCAAGGCTGGTTGCAAACCTACCTGCCGCATTTATTATTTCTGGACCACAAAGTGTCACACTAATTGTGCGGTACTGAGCAAACCACTTGTACACAGCCTCATCCAACTGTACATGCTTTGAAGGCTTCAAAGTTCTTCTACAGCACCCTCTGCTAGTGCTTGCACCTTCACTCTCACTGGTTGAAATGTATTTCATGTATTCAGCTTTTTGTTTCCTTAGAAACAGTACTAGTACCTATATTAAAGTCCCTGGCAACACACTCAGCCGACCGGCCACTTTCCCAGAGTTCTATAACACATATGTCCTTAATTGTTAGGGTAACCTTCTTCCTCTTAACACCTCCAGAATGATTGATATTGCTACCAGACATAGTCTTGTCAAGAAAATTATCAAAGTTACTGTGAAAACAAAAAAGTTATTTAAGAAAATATTTCACTAATGGCACGACAATGGTATAACACGAGGGTCGGGAGCACATGGGTGCTTAGTTTGACCATTGACCAGGCTTGGACGGGTCCACTTGGGGCAGGGAGGCATGTTACGTAGGCCGCCAGGGGGAAAAAACTCCAAATATTTTAGGAGCAAACTTCAGCCTGTGCAAATTGTTTTTTAAGAAACTTATATTTGTTATACTGTAATACAGTACAGTATTAGATAATATTTATTTTGTTTTTTTACTGTGATGACTTGTTCTAAAATTACAGTATTGGTAATTATAGCATGCCCATTATTCCCCCAGGGAATATTCCCCAGACAGTCCCTCCCAACTCTCCCCTCTCTCCCGACACCAGCTACCCCACCACCTATACCACACACCTCGAGCCACAGCCCTACAGGATTAATACAGTACAACCCGATGCCTGATTTTCTTATCCGGGATAATCTCCGGTTGTATGGATTGCAGTTCGGATAGGGCCACATCTGTAGAAAGTTAACTGGATCCAATTTAAAAACTATCAGTATACTTTGATAGGGATATAACATTATCCGGAGGTGATTTTAGCCGGATTAGTCCGTTTTCCGGATTAGCGAACTTGTACAGTACAGTATATGTCTAACCTATGCCTGAAGCAATCCCATGTCTATTATGTTACCTGGCAATTTGGTCCATAAATAATCAACCCTATTTCTGAAGCTGTATTTACTTAAGTCTTTTCAGAATTTAAACAGTCAGTATGTACAGTATATCCATTACTTTGCGTTCTATTTTGTGGTGATATATATTTAAACCCTTATTTATAATCCTTTGTTATATCTCTTAATTCATTTATCTCTTTGTTATACCCTTTTATTCATTTATCTCTTTGTTATACCCTTTTATTCATTTATAACCCCTTTGTTATACCCTTTTATTCATTTATCTCTTTGTTATACCCTTTTATTCATTTATAACCCCTTTGTTATACCCTTTTATTTATAACCACCTTATTATACCCTTTCATTTATCATACCTTGTTATACCCTTTCATTCATAACCCCCTTATTATACCCTTTCATTTATAACCCCCTTATTATACCCTTTCATTTATAACCCACTTATTATGCCCTTTCATTTATCATACCTTGTTATACCCTTTCATTTATAACCCCCTTATTATACCCTTTCATTTATAGCCCCCTTATTATACCCTTTCATTTATAACCCCCTTATTATACCCTTTCATTTATAACCACCTTGTTATACCCTTTCATTTATAACCCCCTTATTATACCCTTTCATTTATAACCACCTTGTTATACCCTTTCATTTATTTATAATTCCCTTTATTATACTGTTCACTCATTCATATATACATACATCACTCATGTCACCCCCCCCCTTCTTCCGTCTTTCTACAAAAATGTAAATTAAGCATGAACCAATCGACAAGGGCCGTGATGAGGGTTCAAACTTACGTCCGAGAGGATCCTAGGCGCACCTTAATCGACTGTGCCACGACATGGTAAACGAATTGCAGCCAAAAGTGCTACTGCCCTCACACGGATCCTGCAGCCTCTCCTGCCTCCCCCGGATGCAGGGGGGGGAATTGTGTAAAACCCTTGTTTGTGTCTCGGAGAGACTGCAGGATCCACATGATCCTGTCAACCGCTAGTAGCACTCGTGGTGGCAATTCTTTTACCATGTTGTGGCACAGTTGATTAAGGCGCGTCTGGGACCCTCTTGGACGTAGGTTTGAACCCTCATCACAGCCCATGTGATTTCTGTGTGTAAATTAAGAAGTTTAATTTCTTCATAAGGAAGGGATCTTATTCCTGGGGTTAACTTTATCGTTCTTCTCTACACATTTAGGTGAATTTCTGTCCATTCTATAGTACGGAGACCCAAACTGATGTGCATAATATAAATGGAGCCTAACAAGGGCAAGATAATACTGAAGACTTAAGATGTGTTACAGTATTGCTAATGTTTTGGGAAGTAAATCCCAGTATCTTACTTGTTTTATTCTGTACGTATATGCATTGATTTTTTTACCTTAAGATTCCTGCTAATCGTGACTCCCAGATCTTTTTCTCATTCAGGTTTTGCTATTTTAACATTGTCCAGATGATATAAGAACATAAGAAAAAAGGAAACTGTAGAAGGCTCATTGGCTAATATGAGGCAGCTATTTATATTCACCAAAGTTCATTCATTTATATGAATTGAGAAAAATATAGAAGTATCCATTTTTTGAAACACTTAGCATGCTACTTTTTTCACAAATGAAAAGGGAATGGTGAGTTAACAGTGAGAGTACAGAACAGTACTTAAGGACAGACATGTAGCAGGTCCTCTAAAGAGAGTGATAAGGATTAAAAATATGTAAACATAACCCAACTAATGTGAAGATTGCCACAATTCCACATTTTCAAGTTAACTTCATCCATACCCAGCAGATTAGGAAATTAATATTTAATGGTTTTGGAGCATGTAAAAAGAATGATTTAAAGTGTAATGACAATTATATTTTGGATGAGCAAGAGGAAGAGGAAAAGTGTTCATTTACAAAGTGTTGTAATTAGGGTGGCAGTCCAAGGAAGTTGTGGAAGGTTTTAAATAATGTAGGAGTGTCTACACTTGTCACCCGTCGGGTTGGTTGGAAGTTGGCTACTGGATGTAGATGTTGTACATCTAATTGCAATATTTTATCTTAATTTATCATACACTGTTACGTTCATAGCTCCATATTGACATTGGGTCTTGCTATGTAGCTACATTTGCATTTTAAATACAGTAATAATATTGTAATTATTAATGTTAATTAATAATTACAGTACAATATTATTTAATTAATGTTACCAATATTAAAATTTATGTTTCATGTAATTTTCATTGTTGCATTCATAATGTGCTATTCAATATTTGAATTTAATTTATTATGTGAACTATTCCCAGGTAAAAAGGAAGGTAATGAAGAGGATATACCAAGTTCAGCGGTAGACTTACAAGTGAAAGAAAAGGTAAGATAATAACTACAAATGGTAGTAGTGATTTACTCTGTATTAAACTCATTAATAAGATACGTTTGATATGTTATATAGCTCCATTTGGTATATCATATACTGCAGTTTCATAAGTTTTTATAAGTGAGCAAAGTCCACTCAGTTGCTACCCAGTGATGGTATGCTAGACCCCTCAGGGATTTTGTGTCACTCCAAGAGAAGTTACATGTAGACTGGTCTTATCCCATAGTCCAAGGGCTAGGAGCACAACAGTTGACAGTCCCACATAAGTAGTTATTCTGGAAACTGGAACATGCTGGAGGGGTGACAGGGAGACTTATGACATGGCTGAAACGTTTTCTGGCAGACAGATGAGGGCAGTAATCAGGGACAATGTATTTGACTGGAGGAGTGTTACTAGCAGAGTACCACAGGGTTCAGTTCTTGCACCAGTAATGCTCGTCATCTACATAAATGATCTACCAGAAGGAATACAAAATTATATGAACATGTTTGCAAATGATGCTAAGATACTGGGGAAGATAGGAGATGCAGACGATTGTAGTGCCTTTCAAATGTATCGAGATAAAATAAGTGCTTGGAGTGCCAAGTGGCAACTGGATTTCAATGTCAATAAATGTCATGTTATGGTATGTGGAAAGGAATTTAAGAACTCTAATAAAGAACGAGATCTAGGGGTGGTTGGAAAGTAAACTGTCACTAGAGGAATACATGAAGATCATTAGGCAAGGAGAGTATGTGTTGCTTTCCAACTTCAGACTTACTTTTAACTACTTGGATGATGAAACTGTTCATGACTTTTGTGAGACCCAAATTGGAATATATTTAGCAGTTGTATAGTGCCCATATCTCAAGAAGCACATCAATTGACTGGAAAAGGTGCAAAGGCATTCTACAAAATGGCTTCCGGAACTGAAAAACAAGAGTTACGAGGAGAGGCTAGAAGCGTTAACTATGCCAAAGCTAGAAAATAGAAGAAAAAGGGCAATATGATCAAAGCAGAGTGGAAGATGGTTGAAACAAGTTAAGTGAGAAGATGGTGGTGGACAAAACTGGCAGAGTTTTGTTATAATTCAAGCATTATTTGACAACGAGTATTGGGAAGACGGGACATGACAAGCATAGTTCTCATGCTGTAACTACACTTAGGTTGATAGGTAGTTGGGAGGTAGGAACAAGGAGCCAAAATTCAACCCCCTGCAAGCACAACTAGGAGACTACTACCACCAGTGTCTGTATTCATTATGTTGTATATTCTCATTACCACAGCCTTAAATCATTGCAACCCCTGTACTTGTTATATATCAGATATAGACAAAAATACAAGTCACAGCTTCATGTCTTCTTTTGCAGCTGACCCAAAAATCTGCATGAAAATTATTTCTGTTGAAGACATTGAAAAACTACAAACTAATACTAAAGTAACTAATAAAGTTTTTGTTTGGGCAGCTGAAAATAAAATGATGTTTAACAGTGATAAATACCAAATGCTCAGGTTTGGTAAAAAAAAATTAAGAACTGAAACAAAATACAGGGTATAATAGTCAAATGTGCCCATAGTAGGAAAGCAACATGTAAAGGATATGGGAATAATGATATCTGATGACCTAATGTTTAGGGAGCAAGCATAACCAAGCAAATATTGCGTCAGCCAGAAAATGAAAAATGAAAAGGATAGATTACGAGAACTTTATTTTTTTATTTTTTTTTTTTTTTTGAGATATACTGTACTGTATCCAAGAGTTGTTACATACGCCACTAGTACGCGTAGCGTTTCGGGCAGGTCCCTGGAATACGATCTCCGCCGCGAAGAATCATTCGTTTTTACAACCAAGTACCAAGTACTCATTTTACTGTTGAGTTAAACAGAGGCTACAGTTAAGGATTTGCGCCCAGTAAATCCTCCCCGGCTAGGATACGAACCCATGACAAAGCGCTCGCAGAACACCAGGCGAGTGTCTTACCACTACACCACGGAGACTTAAAGAGAAAAATGTCCGAGAGACTTTCAAATCCAGGGATCCCATCACAATGGTTGTACTTTTCAAATCACTTTTGTTGTCCTGTCTTGGGTTCTGCTCCATATTCGCCCCTTGAGAGCAGGAGAGATTACTGAAATAAAGGAAATACAAAGAACATATACGGAATGCATAGACATGATAAAGCATCTAAACTATTGAGATCGTCTCAAAGCTCTCAAAATGTTCTTTCTAGAAAGGAGACAAGAAAAGTACTAAATTATTTTATACAGTAGGTGGAAAATATTGGAGGGCCAGGTCCCTAATTTGTAAAGTAAAAATCATCATACTAGTGTGAACGACAGAGTGAAGAGTAGAACAACTCTCAGAACCCCATTCAGGTGCAGTCCAGGTACACCACCCTCTTTCTACCATAAAACATGTTAACCCAGGAATTCCTTTCTTGATCACCTGCATGCAATTAAACCATGTCTAATTTAAAACTACTATTTTATTTTTTTATGACATTTACAAAAAAAAATGTTATATGCTATTTGTTATTTTTATTTATACTTATATATATATATATATTTACAGTTCTTGAAGAAAGTACAGCGTCAAGAGCGTGTTGTTGAAGAGGTGAAACTTAGTCTTAAACCCTTTTACAACAAGAAAACTATAGGTAAAGAAGATTACAAGGACATAATGAGAAAATGTGTCCAAAAGGTAAGATATTGTATCAATTCTTGTATTTTATTAACATGTGTTAAGGACAACAAAAATTCCAGAAAAGTGATTGAAAGATAAAAAATTATAATTAAGAAACTAGTAAATGGTGAACAAGGAGGAGTGTACGATGGAGAAAGTGTGCGAGACTGACCGTAAGGTGTTTACATTGTAACATCCACTCGCTGCTACCATTATAAGATATCCCCTTCATAACTATTCCCTGTGAGACACTGTACTATTACTGCTATTACTGTAACAACCACCACCCAATGTAACATCTACATCTTGAACTCTTGTGCAGAATAGGTGGGGGAGGGGAAGAGGGAGTGGTGAGGGAGGCGAAGGAAAAGTATAGATAGAAGATTGAATGGAAGGTAGACACATTGAGAAAGATGGATAGCTGCTGCCACCATTCTAATCTCTCAAATTAAAGTGAACAGGAGAATCTTACAAGAACTACCCCTCATGGGTATCCATTTCATTCTGGCAATACTCTGTACTGGGACATTGTAAAGGAATTATTGAATACTAATAAACCTTTAAACTAAATTTATTGGATCACACCACTTCTCACTCTGATTTGTTGAACTACATAATTACAACCGTCATAGAAGGGAGAAGAAGGGAGACTTGATAACTCACACCACCCTCTTGTCATACTGGGCTCCTCGGAAGACTACACAGTACTTTTCTCTTGGTCCTGACAAACACACTGAAACTCTCACCTCTTCAAATCAGCCGAGTATCACCCACATCCCACCACAGATGGTGGCTGAGTTCAGCTATCTCTCTTGCCCCCTCTCTATACTGAACCAAGTTTGGCCTCTGAATGATTCTCTCTTGGCTTGTTTCTGTCTCCTTATATGTGAGATCCCAACTAGGCTTGAGGTGGTATACCTCCATGAAACACAACACTCACCCTTACAAGGCCACATGATACAGAGGACAAGTGCCATTGATCGTGGGAATGTGGAGGAACCGAAACTTGGGAAGGCGGGAGGGGAGCCATAAACCCCACCTCACTTAACCACTCACTCAAGCACTGACTGCTCACGGCAAGATCAACACACCTCACCCACACTCACAAATATACAGTACAAAATACTCACTCCTATGTTACAACAGCCTTTGTGTGTCCGTAGAAAGTATTTGATTAAAAAACCTAAAAATGGACTTGAAGTAGTTGAATGTATTTGGAGGTAGAGGAATGTTCTATAATGCAGTAGGGACTCTTAACGAAGGAAGCTAATTATGTGTACGAGTTGATGGTGAAAGTGAGAGACTAAAATTATATTAATAGGAATATGCCAAGGCTGTGAAATATCTCCATGGTTGTTTAATATTTACATGTCAAGGGGACAGCTTTAGAGCAAGGTGTTAACTGAAGAACTTTATATAAATTAATGTATGTACGTAGTGTATATAAAGACATGTTGTATGGCACTAACTCTTCAGACAGATAATGAAAAAGATATACTGTACTGGTATATAGAGGATAATTAAAAATGTTGATGTATCAGAGGTAATTCCTGAAAATGTATATGTACTATTAAAATTATTGTTATGGCTACTTAGGGCCAGTAACCGGGTTCTTGATGTTATAACCTCTTTTAGTGTATCTGACCCCAAGTCGGTAGTATGCTTTCAAAAACTGTAGTAGTGCAATGAAGAAATAAAGGGGGGGATAAACGAGACACTATTCCTTTCACCAATATATTTACACCTTTACCGTTAAAATATCTTAAATAAAATACATTATAACTACACATGTTTACAGTAGTGGCACTTTCACTCGGGACACTACTACGTTGACAGTGTTCACCAACTCCAACATTTCCACCGCCCAGTACCTTGCGCACGTGTACTGACAAACGCTGGAGAGTTCACTTTTTACATGGGCCAGTCCACCGACACAGTCTCATAAGGTGTCTACACCCCACTTTCACTCTCCAGCAACCCACTGGCAGAGGACTTCAGCGACACTCTGACAGGAGTCTCAACCATATACTGGGGTAGCTAATCCCTCAGTAGAAGCCTCTAGCAGCTGGCTAGCAGCACTTCATAATAGGCTGTGGTCCGTTACTCTCCTAAACCAATCCCAGAGTACGCCGATCTCTACCAACACTTGCGTAATTTAGCAGCTAACACACTGCTCAGATCGACGGCGACTTAATCTTCCAGGACCAAGCTGAGAGTACGTGGACTGCCCAAGGTAAACTACCTTCCACAGAACAACTGCCTCCATACATCACTTCTGTGGATGTAAAACGTCATCAATTAGACAGACGGTACACTGGGAAAACCATGAGATAACACTTATTCACCCGGGAGTTAACATTATGCTCTGTAGCTACAACAAATGGCACTGATCGTGTCACACCATCCACCAGAGGTCATCCACGTCGACCTCTCTTGCTAACCAAGGCCGGAAACAGGAGCCATTGACCGCTGTCATGCCGCCACCAACAGATGGTATTGTCCACGTTGCGTCCAATATCAGGGGAGTAGGAGTGCAGACCCATAGATGGCGCTGAAATTGCCCCTCTACACTCCGACGATGGTGACGATACCATAACAATTATATTAACAGTAGTGGAGTAAGAAGAGAATTCTAATCGTAGTAACATAGAGAATAAAGAAATTCTGTACAGTACTGTATTATCCTGTTGATGAGTGGTTTAACTTTTTAAGATAGGTGATGGAGAAAAGAGGAAATAGGATGATAAAAGTAGAAAGTCAAGTGAGCCAAGGAAGAGGAGATGTAGTAAGGTGGAAGTCCTGATTTATGAAGAATGAGATAGGAAGGGCTGTGGCTGCATGGAGGAATGGAATGTTCCAATCTTTATGGGTATGAAATGCTGGTCTGGTATGAGAATGACAGTGCGAGTGTACGACCAGCAGAGCTAACACTGGAGCTTGTTTATTAGCACGATATATAGAGGGAAGTCTTGTAATGTTATGGTCAGATGCAGAGTTCAGAAGTCTATTAATCTAAAGATTAAAGTGTGATGGCCATGTTATATATCAGCCTATCCTCCTGTTTTGATGCTACTTATAAGAAGGATGAGGATCATAGTGCATATACCAATGTACACCGCTATTAGATAGTAGAACTCAGTACTACAGTTATTGAATTTGGACAAACTGAAAAAAAAAATGTGTGGGAGCCTCTTCGGCTCCCTGGAGCTATCGGGCTAATGTGTGATATATTACACCCGGGCATTAGTCTATGAAGTTCAACCTACTGGGGACCATGAGCCAAAACCTGGCTTCCTCAGAGAGTTTTCAGGGAGCAATGGCCCTGGAAAACTCCCCTATGGTTGGGGGTTTTCCTTATCTGCCATTGACCAGGGTTAAGCACCCAGAAAGATAGGCATAACAAAACAAACCCTACATGGTAAGAAAAGTCTAAAGAAAAACCAAAACGAGAGACAGAACTCCCTCTAATCCCAAGGAAACAAGCAAACGTCACACTCCACTGCCGTGCCGCTTGTCCACGCAGCCGTCCCCTCCCCACGCCGGCTACTTAGCACTCCAGTTCGTTAGCTAATGTGGTCCAGGGTGGACGTCTTCTCTGGCCTTGATTTTCAAAGGCGGTGTTTTGCCTTCATAGTGACCTATGCAGTGTTGTGTGTGTGGTGGCCAGGTGTCCTCATCAGTACCAGACCTGCTTGCGCTTAGGGGCATCCTTCCCTAGGCTTGTCCTTGCATGTTAGGGTGCCCTTCCCTGGTGCATTTAGGAAACCATTTCCATAGAGGGTATTTGCTGCTTGGCATTTACCCTGCCCTTGAGGCCAGCTGGGGTTTCATGGCACTTGTTTGGCCTTGGGTAGGGAGTAATATCGTTCTGGTTGGAACGTCAAGGTGTTGTGCTGCCTGCCTACCTGTGCAGCGGCCAGTTCCTGTTTCCTCTGGACATGATGGCAATAGGATGGTCAGTCTTTGGACTCAACGTGGGCTCTGAATTCAGCTTCTCCCCTTTGTGCTTTCCTTTTCTCTGAGGGCATCGTCACTCAGTTTTTGTCAAGTGCTTCTGTTGTTTACCGTTCTGTTGTTGATTTGATGTGTTTCCAGGAGGGGGGGGTTTCTTCGCGCCCTTCCCGGCAGGGTAGAGCCAGCGCTTCACTTGCTGTTAGTTGGGGTGGGTCCTCTGTGGTGCCAGCAGCATGGTTGGACGCGTTTCTACCAGCCTTGTCGTCGTCTTCTGGTTGGCACTGTGCAAGTGGTTCGTGCTAGCTGCTTTGTGGATTGTCCCATTGACGGGGTGGTTGGGGGAAGGCTGGCTCACTTTGCTCACACTTGGTCCCAAGATTCGTGGGCATTTCGGGTCGTGTCTTGCAGCCTGTGGTGGTGTTGGGCCGTTCTGCCTCCTTCAGGGGGTTCAGGGCTTTTGGGGCAGGCCTCTTCACCTTCCCTTCATTGAGTCATTGGTGAAAATGGGCACCTCTGGTTGGTGCCCATTTGTTCCTTCTCCATGGGTAGATAGCTTCAGGAAACAATAAGGGGTTGTCCCAAAAAAAAAACTTTGAATGTAATGGAATGACAATTACTGGGTGAGCCCCGGTGGCTCCCTCCCTCCCTCCAAGGTATCAAGGGGGTTGTTTCCATCATCTATAGAACTGAGGGTGGAGCAGCCAGTTGATCCAGGCAGCCCTTCCCCAATCCCCCCCCAAATGATGGGGGAGGTGAGGCAAATGAGCTCAAGCTAGTTTTGTAAAATTTTTATTATTTGTTTACATTGTTAGAAAAGTTCTTTTGGCAGTTCTTGAGGCTGCAGTCTTGTTTATAATTGGCAGTGGTCTGTTTTGTTTTGTTGACTTTCTGGGTGCTGGCAGACATGAATAAATTCATTAAAATGTTTATCTAAATACCACCACTTCCTGCGCCTCTTTAGAGGGGGGCCAAGTTCTGGCTCGTTGTCCCCAGTAAGTCAAATAGAACTGCAACTGATGGCACCTAGTATCTATCTAGCACTACATCAGTAATGTATCTTCAGGAAGCCACCGTGGCTCGCCCAGAAATTGGCGTTTCATTACATTCAACGTTGTTTTCTGAGGGAAGCCCTGACGGCTCCCTGGAGCCACTGAGGCAGCCGGCTCCAAAGAGCCTCCGGGGCTTACCCAGAAAATGGGGGTTTCATTACATTCAACGCTGATTTTTTCCATTCTTTGTACAGTACAGTGTTTAGAAGTGACAAGTTCAATGGCAGTGATATTTCTACTAAATGGAATGTTTTTTTTAACGAACTTGCTAATGTTACTAGTTATAACCACACAAGTAAGTGCTAGAGCACATACACAATCACTCTTTATTTGTAATCACCTCTACCACATTTTCTATTTTCATGAGATGGGAAAACAATCAATAGGGAAGGATAGATACAGGAAAAAGACATTCGTACTTCTGTATTTCCATTTAAATAAAGTCAGTTATGAGTACTATACTCAATATCACACTTAAATTTTTGTGTATATATTATAGAGTATTTTGTATCTTCCACAGGTCTGTCACAACAGATCAGGAGAGATAAACCCTACCAAAATCCGTGGTCTTGTACAAGGCTACATTAAGAAAGTCAAATACTATCGTAAAAAACAAAGTGGGGTGTCAGATCTAGCCCCAACTAAACCCACTGCCAATGACTCCTCTGCACCAACCTTTGTTCTCATCCCCAAAGCAGCCAAACCTCCAACGCCGATAAAAAGTAAAGCGTAGATTATTGTACATTTATTTAGCACGAATTATTGTTCAAATTTGGAGTAGATTTATTACTCCCGGTAATAAGATGTTAATTTGTAGAGAGGCCTGCTGTTCAGTGACAACATTTTGGTTGGATAATGTGGACTTTCAGGGCTGGTGGGACAGATGTAAAGTATGACTGATTTTGTATGTTTTTATTTATTTGATATTTTTTTGTTATTTTTTTATGATAAGCATGAAGTGTACATTATTGGTAGAAATGGAACAGTTAGGACTGCTGTATAGTACAGAAGATATTGTAATATTATTTAGCTATTTTCATGCAAGGACAAACCTATTAATTAATGGGTTTAACTATTTATATACAACAAATTATAATTGGGTGCCCCTCAATAATATTTTGTGGTTGTCTTTAGTGTTATAAGTATGCTTGTGGTAAATATTTGTGATGTGACTCTGGGATTGTGATCCTGAGGGCGGCTGTCAGCAAGACGCTGGTCATGGTCACGGTGACTGCTTGCCTCAGTATAATGTTGAATCTCCATTGCATCATTGATATCCTTTACAGTACATTATACCAAAACCATGAACATATTTTCCAGAAGACCTCATATATTTTTAAGTGCATTTTCCAAAGCACAGCTGTGGTAAAAGATAATAATACAGTAATACCAGTAGTAAACATTTCTGAGAAAATGTGATGGTACAATGGTTGTGTTGTATGTGAATACTTTGTTATAGGAATGGTGAAGGATTAGTTCTAACATCAGTTTTAAAGTTGTGGTCAAGAAATGCATAGAGGTTTCTGCATTGTTCTAATGTTCATAAAGAATATACATACAAATATGTATATATTTCTATGTTGGTATATTGTATTACCACATCAATCCAATATCAACACCTAATTTCAATGCATTCATTGACAACAGGTGTTATTTTATTTCACTTTAGTTCTCTGCAGTTTCCTCTTTAACTACAGAACCACACCACAAAGAGGGGCAGAATCCACATATTGTACATGAACAAAGAGAGACTGACAGCTATGTTGTGGCAGACCCACCAACTTTCTTGATAATTGCTAAGAATAATAACCTAAGAAAGTTCTATAAGTATCTTCTCTGTTTGTAGTGGTTATGTATGTAAAAAATGTTTTCATATCTTTTAAGTGTGTATCAGCATAAATTGATTAAATTTAAATAGATTATGGTTTATTTTATTACCTTCAATTCAAATAAAAAATGAAGTTGCTAGATTATTCAAAACCCACAAAAACAGGAAAAATAAACGTGTAAGTTAAATCTTAAATTACAATACTAGACATGAAAGAAAGGAAACTGAAAGAAAAAAGTGGCATTTGGCAGGCCAAACAAAAACATAACAATGGCCCAATGTGATTTGTTGAGAGAAAAAGGCTTTATACCAGCTACCAATAAGTCTAAGGGCCTCATACCATCTATATTTAAGTCTCATTCGGTAGGAAATTTCCCAGAAACAACTGTAGAAGCATATATAAATCTTTCATCTAACACTGGATTAGTATAGGCTGTATAGGTATAGAAGAGATTGATTTGCAGCTTTCATGGTGTTTGCATACAGCAATTTACATAACTAAAACTTATGCTTTCTCTTTATCTTGGTTGCCTTTGTCCATCTGGGAGCTCTTTATCTTGAAGAGGTAACATCTCAAATATTTCTGAAGTAGTATCCAGAGTATGTTATATAATTATGCATAGTTTTACTGTCCTTAAACTAAATTGTTGGTTTGGAATCAATAAAACAAACTGAGCCATACAGAACATTCATATTATCCTTATTTGACTGGATAATTATGTACCAAAACCTGTTGGATTTACAAATACAATATTAAATATTTGGCTTATTAGATTGTCAGCACAGAATAATAAGCACCCCAACACTCCCCAACTTGCATAGAATTATAAAGATGTGTATAAAGTACAAGAATTTCCCTTGACAGGCACATACAGTGCAAGAGAAGTGAGAGAATAGTGAAAAATTGGAATGATATAATTAAAAAAATCTAATAGTAAAGTGTTTAGTAAATGGACACTGTGGAAGTAAGGTAAACTACTGAGACAACATTTCAGTTGCACATATGATAGTTGTCTTATCTAATAGCCAGAGTTACCTAACATGCCAAATTTTTTCATGGCCTGAAATTTTCAAACATTTTTCTTATGGAATGCTAAAGATTTGTATTGTATTATATATATGACTGGAAACTGTTCGAGTTAAAACTATTGTATAAATTTTCCCAAGTCAGTAGTTCATGGCCCCTAATATAATATGTATTATTAGGAATGAACATATTTGGAAATAAATATTTGAAAACAAAATTGCTGCTTGTTAAGCAGATCAGTCCTTTCTTACTAGGCCTAGTAGTGTGCTTCTGGACATTAGCTATGACAGTTGCATCATCAAGTAAGGATAGTGGTACGTCACATTCAGAACAGTTTTATGTCATTTGACCTGACCTACATGAAGCTGCCAACTTGCAAGAAATAAGCATAAACATTTCAGCAATATTAGCAATAAGACAGTAATGCTGAAGGATGTAACTTTTCCTAACCATGATAGTTGCTTTGATTACACTCGTCCTGTTGTTCCAATTTATCATCAAAAACAAATTTCAACCTCCACAATTTTATGATTTCAACCTTCATTTTTTTAGTAGTGTTTCTTATAGGGAATTAATAATAATAATACTATATATGCTATATTATAGCATATATAGTATTATGAGGTAAATAGTGTTTCTATTTTTTCTTTGTACAGTACCTGTAATGGCAGTTTACATCATATGGCATACTTTGGTGAATCCCCATTAATTCATCCCCCAGAGTGAATCCCATTAATGTGTCATGACATTTTTCACTAAAAATTTTAGAAAAACGGAGTTTGCTTAGAAATACCTATAATTAACGGGATGGGTGGGCTGTCCGCCAGCCATGGTGGCGGTGGGGGGCTGGTGGGAACATGCCACCCATCGTGCACCCACACTTTATATCTGGTCCTGCTTCTCACAGTTATTGCACTTCAAGCTTACTTTACATCACAGTTTGTTGACCAGACCACACACTAGAAATTGAAGGGACGACGACGTTTCGGTCCGTCCTGGACCATTCTCAAGCCGATTGAGAATGGTCCAGGACGGACCGAAACGTCGTCGTCCCTTCAATTTCTAGTGTGTGGTCTGGTCAACATACTTCAGCCACGTTATTGTGACTCATCGCCTGCATACATCACAGTTTCTTGGTTTTCTACGTTATAATTTCCTTTATAGCTAACTAGATGGGTACCCGGCATTGCCTGGGTCTGTCAATCATTTCTCCATCTATCCATCTCTCCCTTGATCCCATGTGGAACCCGTTCTCGCAAATTTAATAAGTCAATATTGACTTATTAAATATGTGCATAGGTGACATACTTAACATAATAGATACCCTTAAAAAGATTCATAGAAAACACCGACCTTACCTAACCTTGTTAGTATCTTAAGATAAGCATCTTATTGCTTCGTAATTACAATTATTTCCTAACCTATAATAGGTACAGGTTAAGTAATAATTGTAATTACGAAGCAATAAGATGCTTATCTTAAGATACTAACAAGGTTAGGTAAGGTCGGTGTTTTCTATGAATCTTTTTAAGGGTATCTATTATGTTTAGTATATCACCTATGCACGTAGTTAATAAGTCAATATTGACTTTACGAATTTGCGAGAACGGGTTGCAGCATCCCCATCCCCCATGTTTTCCCCCATCCTTCCCCCTTTCTCTCTTCCTCCTCCTCCCCTACTTTCCCTTCCATCTCCCCCAGCTCCCTCCCACTCACCTTGGTCCTTTCCCTTTCCCCCATTTCCCTCCCTTCCCCTTTCTCAGAAAATGGAGGGGTTTCTGCAAGTCATTATATTGGGTCGACAATATATCATAGGTGGTATCTTGGTCTGTGGTGATCTCATGGTTGACGGCAGCGCGGTCGCAATACTGGTATGCTTTGGCAGGGATGAATTGAATGCTTCTGGGTCAAGTGCCTTCTGGTTTCTGTATTTTTCGTTAAAGTATCTGCTGAGACGGCATTTATTTTTTGAAGTGCTGCAAAGTAGGTGTTACTCCCTTATGATTGGTGGGAGTACCTCTGTGTTTGGGTCGTGTGCGAACACGAATTTGGGTGGGTCTTCCTCAGAATCAGTGTTTTCTGGTTCTACAGCTGCTGCTGGTTGGTGTAGGTGTGGCGGAGGTCGCGGGGTTTGCTCCTGCGTTACAGAAGCAGATGGTGAAGGAGAGTTGGTTGGTACTGCCACCAAAATCAGGTCTGCCTGATTTCTGTGAAAACAGAGATGTTGCCAGATGTTGTAGCATGCGTGGCTGAGGATGCAGTGGGTGGTGGAATTGTTTCATGTGCAGTAAGCAGAGCCTCTGGTACCACAATGGTTGGAAGTTCATTTCCAGATAGTAGCTGAATAAGAATGGTGACAAACAGCCGGTTGATCGAAGGGCCTCGTAGCCTGGTGGATAGCGCGCAGGACTCGTAATTCTGTGGCGCGGGTTCGATTCCCGCACGAGGCAGAAACAAATGGGCAAAGTTTCTTTCACCCTGAATGCCCCTGTTACCTAGCAGTAAATAGGTACCTGGGAGTTAGTCAGCTGTCACGGGCTGCTTCCTGGGGGTGGAGGCCTGGTCGAGGACTGGGCCGCGGGGACACTAAAAAGCCCCGAAATCATCTCAAGATAACCTCAAGATAACCCTGCTATCTGGCCAGTGGGGTGAAGCAGGGCTGGAATGATGCCGGTCTTGGTAATTAGTGGTGGGGACTGTGGAGGTGACGACGGCTGGGTCGGTGTTTGGGGTTACAATCCGTTCTCGCACTTGCTTATAGTCAATATTGGCTTTTTAATAAGTGCATTTGTGACAAACTAATTGATTGTGAATATTTTAGTTTACCTTGAAAAGATTCATAGAAAACACCGACCTCACTTAACCTTCTTAGTATGTTAAAATAAGCATCTTATTGCTTCTTATTTACAATTATTACTTAACCTATCAACGGTATTTGTACTCACCTAGTTGTACTCACCTAGTTGTGCTTGCGGGGGTTGAGCTCTGGCTCTTTGGTCCCGCCTCTCAACCGTCAATCAACAGGTGTACAGATTCCTGAGCCTATTGGGCTCTTATCATATCTACACTTGAAACTGTGTATGGAGTCAGCCTCCACCACATCACTTCCTAATGCATTCAATTTGTCAACCACTCTGTCACTAAAAAAGTTCTTTCTAATATCTCTGTGGCTCGGATAAGCTTTGTGGCTTTGGATAAGCACCTCCAAAGGATACCTGATCAACCAGGCTGTGACTCATACGTCAGGCTGCGAGCAGCCGCGTCCAACAGCCTGGTTGATCAGTCCAGCAACCAGGAGGCCTGGTCGACGACCGTGCCGCGGGGACGCTAAGCCCCGGAAGCTCCTCAAGGTAACCTCAAGGTAAGGCTCATTTGGGCGCTCAGTTTCCACCTGTGTCCCCTTGTGCGTGTGCCCCTTGTATTAAATAGCCTGTCTTTATCTACCCTATCAATTCCCTTGAGAATCTTGAATGTGGTGATCATGTCCCCCCTAACTCTTCTGTCTTCCAGCGAAGTGAGGTTTAATTCCTGTAGTCTCTCCTCGTAGCTCATACCTCTCAGCTCAGGTACTAGTCTGGTGGCAAATCTTTGAACCTTTTCCAGTTTAGTCTTATCCTTGACTAGATATGGACTCCATGCTGGGGCTGCATACTCCAGGATTGGCCTGACATGTGGTATACAAAGTTCTGAATGATTCTGACATATGTGGTATACAAAGTTCTGAATGATTCTGACATATGTGGTATACAAAGTTCAAATCAAATCAAATTAAATGTTTATTTAGGTAAGGTACATACATACAAGAGATTTTACAAAGAGTGATGGATTTATAGATAGGGCTAGTACATACAATGCCTAAAGCCACTATTATGCAAAGCGTTTCGGGCATGGAGTCAGCCTCCACCACATTACTTCCTAATGCATTCCATTTGTCAACCACTCTGACACTAAAAAAAGTTCTTTCTAATATCTATCTGTGTGTGTGTGTGTGTGTACTCACCTAGTACTCACCTAGTTGTGTTTGCGGGGGTTGAGCTCTGGCTCTTTGGTCCCGCCTCTCAACCGTC